AATCTTCTTCTCAAGCTCTTCCACTTCTGACTCTTCTTGGTAATCTTCTGTACCTGTCTCTTCTTCAGATCTTTCTTCCTCAACTGGGAATCTTCTTCTTTATTCACTTCTTCCACAACCTCCTGTATCACATCCAATCTAAAACAATCCTCCACATCAACAGGGTGCTTGATGGTTTCAAATACATCAATTGTGACTGTTTCCTCATCCACCCTTAGCAACAACTTTCCTTGTTCAACATCTATCAAAGATCTTGCAGTTGCTAAAAAGGGTCTTCTTAACAATAGAGGACTTTATGTATCCTCTTCCTCCATGTCAAGAATCACGAAATCCACTGGAAAAATAAACTTGTCTACCTTGACCAAGACATCTTCAACCACACCTTCAAGCCTCTTGATAGATCTATCTGCAAGATGCAGAATAAGATTGGTCTCCTTCAAAGTGTTGATTCCCAAAGCTCTACATACTGTCAATGGTATCAAGTTTATACTGGCTCCCAAATCGCACAATGCCTTTCCCACCTCCACATCTCCTATAGCAATAGAGATATTGAAGCTTCCAGGATCTTTCGTTTTTGTTGGAAGCTTCTTCTGGATTAGGGCACTACACTCTGCTGTTAGGGCCACTGTCTCACCATCAGTTAATTTCCTCTTCTTAGTAAGAAGATCCTTCATGAACTTTGCATAGTGAGGCATATTTTCCAGTGCTTCAGAAAATGGTATGTTAATTTGTAAATTTTTGAAGATATCCAGAAATCTTGCATAGTGCTGTTTCTGAATCTCTTGCTTCAACCTTTGAGGATAGGGAACTTTAGCATATGGAGATAAAATAACTGGCTGTTCTTTCTTGTTAGCCATCTTCTTCTTTTCCCACTTCATCATCTTTTATGGGGAAGCATTTTTACCAACTTCTACCTCTCCTTCATTCTTATTGTCCTTCCCTTCCTCTTCTTTATCAATTCCAACTATAACATCTCTAACAACTACTTCCTTCTCACTTTTCTCATTTCTCATCTTCTCTACTTCATCATCAGAGACTACATCTTCAACCACAACCTCTTCTTCATTCTTTTTATTTTCCACATTCTTTTTCACTGGTTGAAGTACCAACCCACTTCTTGTCATAATTGCTTTACAGTGCTCCTTAGGATTCACTAATGTATCACCTGGAAATTTCCCTTGTGGTCTCTCTGATATCTGTCTTGATAATTGACCAATCTGGGTCTCAAAATTTCTGATTGATGCTTCCTGATTTCTGAAAGAAGTTCTGGTCTCCTGCATGAATGCAGTTGTCTCTTCCCTGAATGAATTAGACCCCTGGATATAATCCTGAGTTGTCTTAGATAACAGAGAAAACGTTTTCTTCCATGCAGCAGGATCACTTGACTGCTCCTTCATATGTGGTGGTGGAGGATGTAATGTTGGGTTCAATTGATGGTTGGAACTATAGCTGAATCATGGGTGTTGATTCTTGTTCTTCCATGGTGGCACATAAACATTCCTTCCCTGATTGTTGTAGTTCCTTTGATTATTCTAATCATACCACACTCCATTCACCTCTGCTTGTTCTGGTGATCCCCCATGATCACACTCCTCTGTCACATGGCCTTTGCCACAGATAGCACATACACTCTTTGTTTCCACAGAAGCTACCTTTTGTGAAGAGAGTTGCTTAATAAGGGTATCCAACTGTTGTTGCTGTTGTCTCTGTGTCTGCATCAGTTGATCATTCCTTGCCAACAGAGCATCATACCCATCCAACCTGATGACTCCTGTCCTTCTGTCAGCCACTGGGGCATTATCAAATTCCTGAGATGCCAATGACTCAAAGATATCCAAGGCTTCTTGAGGGGTCTTGGTAGTCAATGATCCACCAGCAGTGGCATGCACCAAGGTTCTAGTGTTAGTGGTCATTCCTTGCAGGAAGATTGCTGCTTGTTGCCATGCCTCAATTCCATGTTGTGGACATTTCCTCAACAAAGTCTTGAATCTCTCCCAAGCCTCATAAATGGATTCTGACTCTTTCTGCTTAAAGCTTGTAATCTCATCCTTCAACTTGGCCCTCTTGGATGCTGAGAAAAACCTCTGCAAGAACTTGGTTTGCAGATCATCCCAAGTTGTTATACTTCCTTGTGGCAAAGATTGCAGCCATCTCCTTGCATCATCCGTCAGTGAATGAGTGAATAGTCTCAGCATAATTGCATCTCTTGTGACACCATTTATCTTCACAGTATCACTCAACAATAGAAAGTTCTCTATGTGCAAGTAAGGGTCCTCTGCACTGGTTCCAGCAAACTGGTCCTTCTGCACCAAATGTATCAAAGCAGGCTTCAATTCAAAGTTGTTGGGCTCCACTGTTGGGCGCACAACACTCCCAATTGGAGGAATCACTGCAGGAATCATGTACTCTCCCAGTGTCCTCTGTGGTGGTGGTGGTCTGTGATTCTCTGCCATTATCTCTTCCTGATTAACCGTACTTGATTCACCAATTTCTTACAACTGTCTCCTTTGCCTGGCTGCCCTTTTGTGCTTCCTCAATGTCCTTTCTAATTCTGGATCATACAACAACAAATTCGGATCAAGTGTACCTCGCATATACCAGAATCAAAATTGACCACAAACTTAACATAAACTAAAATACTGAAAACAAAAGGATTCATTCTCAGAATTCTATGGTATCAGTTAGTGTTGAAAAACAAATTCCCCGGCAACGGCGCCAAAAACTTGTTGGACGTTTAGCAAGTGCACTAGTCGTACAAGTAATAAAATGATGAGTAAAGATCGTTCCCACGAGGAATTGTATTCAAGCACCAATAAACCATAAAAAACTAATTTGAATCAGATAAGAGTTTATAAAAATCATGAATAATAAAGGAGACAGTCTTAAGATTACATCAGAACTCTAGCATCAATCCCTTGAGTACTAGAATTCTGATGTTGAGATTATCAAATACAGAAGTCATATAAACATCCCTGTTCTATACTACTTCCTTGATAGAAATAATTAAATCAGAAAATCTCAAATCAACACATGAAAAATACTTCATCATATTAATCAGATCAACATAATATTATCATGGAGTTCTATTGCATTCAGACTACAAAGACTCTACTCAGACATGACTAAGGAATAGATAAGAGAAGAAGAATCAAACTTCATTTCCATGTTGAAAGTCTTCAATCTCCAATCTATTACAAAGAAATCCTAATACAACAACTAAAACACTAAGAGAATTTAGAGAGAAGTCAGACTAAAGTTTAAGAGAGAGAGAGAAAATATCAGATCTCTCAGATCCAGCTTTTTTTTCTAAGTGTCAAGGCTTTGCCTTATATAGTGTTACAATTAAAAACAGAAAACTGATGTGGGCGCTAAAACGTACATAAGTGACCGTTTTAGCGTCCATGCTTTACGTATGCTCAACTGCTTTTAACTGATTCCAACGCTAAAACGTTAAGGAATGACCGTTTTAGCGTCCAAACTTGGTGAATGCTTAACTGACTTTAACTGACTCCAACGCTAAAACTCTTGATTTGGACGTTTTAGCGGTGGAGACCATAATCTTTTTTCCACTTCAGGGCGCTAAAACGCTTATTGCAGGCCGTTTTAGCGCCCAAGACCAGCAATTTTCCAACTTCTAAGTGCAGCAGTGCGCTAAAACGCTCTGTGTGGGCGTTTTAACGCTCATCACCAGCAAGTTTTGGCCTCTTCCTGTAGCAGGGCGCTAAAACGCTCAGTGTGGACGTTTTAGCGCTCAACACTTAGGCAATTTTTCTCCTCTTGAGCTCCAGAATCTTCTTTCTTCTCCAGTTTCCTTTCAAGCTTGCTTTTCCTACAAGAATCATACAAATTTCCAATAAAGCTCTTGAACTTGTAATTGAGGACATCTTAGGACATTAAACTTGTTTTTTCATCATTTAATCACACAATTTGATCCTAATTCCTGCTAAAAACCATGATGAACTAAGGGTTCATCAGTAAGTATACATGAGAACAATTGGGGCCTATTATGAAAACGATTAGATGCTTTTGAGAATGACCTTGGGTCAGAAAGATAGATAGAGATGAGAATGAGGTGAATTGATACCAATAAATTTGTAATATGGTTATGTTATTACCTAAAAATCAGCGGAAGTGAAACGGTAAACCAGAGAAAGTTTAAAGTATTGTGAATTAAAAGGTCACAGAACCATAAGAGATGAGTAATTGTGAAGGATCAAAGGATAATGAGTATCATAAAAAGGAGATCATGCTTGTGATAAAAGTAATATGGTAAAGATACACACTTGAGGATACTAATTGGGAGCAGGAGGATGAGACTCACCGGCTGTGTCCTGAGTTAGCGGATGAGTATGATTTAATTTTGCAGACAAAATTCTAAAAGGTGGGGTGATTATAACACCTCGCATTTCTAAGTTTAAATATTAAAATATTAAATGAGAATTAAAGAGAAGGATTAGTGAAAATCCTGAGTATAAGGCGAAAATACAAAGAAAGGGCAAAACAGTAATTAGCCATACACACAACCCTAGGAAGATAAAATTGAGTAGAAGGTCTCAGATGATAAAAAGAACCCTGGAAATGGATTTAGAACGAAAAATCGAGTGGATAGGAAAATTTGGGAAAAATTGATGAATAGTGATTTTTCCAGTGTAAAAATGCTGCCGTATAATTGTACTGATAAGCGTGAAATTTTTATCAGTATTTTTAGAAAACAAAAATATGACATGAACGAAAAAAATACATAGGTAAGGAATTTGTGGTTGAAATTAGTGATTGATTAAAGTTAAATCGCGTGTAGGACCCACCTATGGCTTATAAGTGACTTAAAAGTCACATTTACATGACACATTCTCTCTCCTCTTCTCCCTTCTTCCCCGTGGATCAGCCCTCCCCCTTCCATTTTCGTTTTTTTTATTTGTTTTGTTTGATTTCTTCATAACTTCATCAATTCTTAACCGAATCGGACGATTCTTGTCTTGAAATTCGATGGAAATCACCATCCGAACCCGTTCCACCGATTAGTTTCCCTTGAAACCCTCTCTATGCTGAGAAAAGAGCCATATACAGCCACGAAATTCTTAGGATTTTTGTGATTTTGGGGTTGATTTCTTGAGCCATTGCTTGTGGAGTTCTAGGAGGAGTCTTGTGACGTAATTGTGGGTAAGTTTCAACACCCCTCATGGATTGATTTGAAGATTTATTTTCGAATTTGTTTATGAACCCTAAAGAGGGCTTGTTTGATTTGTGATGTTAGAGAGCTCAAATAGAAAATGTGTATTAGATGATAATGTCTTAGAATGATGTGTTAGAGCTATACATGCCATGAAAATTATTGGTGAAAAATATTGTTTTGTAACTTAGAAAATTTTGAGGTTGTCATGACTTTGAATTTTGAAAATGTGTTAGGATTGTATTGGTGAGTTGTTGTATGATTATATGTTGATATAATGGGATTGTATGAGGTGTGGAATAGTTAAAATTGGGTGAAAATTCCTTGGAATGGATTATGTGCAAATCGGCCTTTAAAGGAAAATTAAGGAATGGATGTTGTTGGAAATTATTTGACTGATGTATGATGTGCTAAATGGTACTTAGATGGGTTGTGTGGTGGTTTAAAGGTTGTAGAATCAATGAAAAATGATTGAAGGTGTTAATTGCCATAAAGGATCCTAGAGTAAAATATTAGGCAAAACATTGTTTAAAAGACGTAAAGTGAAAAATGGCACTTGGTATGGCCTTTTGGCAACCTGTGGAAGTATAATAAAATGAGAAAGAAAATTTAGAAAAATAATTTGTGAAATAAGCCTTAAGAGGCCGAACCTACAAGGTGTAGGAGTGAAATTTGACGTTTTTCGTATTTTGATGGAATTGCCGTGTACTGACGATTCGTACATGATTACTGTAGGTTGCCGTACGTCGATTTGAACACCGAACCGTGAGTCGGTGGATTGCCCTTGGTCCTGGACCAAGTGGGATTGAGGTAAGTGGTTGAATCATGCTTGTATTGTTGTAAATTGCATGCATTCGTATGAGTTTTGAGTAATTGGGAACGTCCTATGTGTAGGCGTTCTGTTGAGTAACAAACTTGGAACCTAAGCTGCTGTGGAGCTAAGTGGAGTAACATATTGAGGTAACCTCTTGGTACTGGGGCTTGTTCTCCTTTTCTGTTCCACCTTGCCAGTTGATGGCAACGGTAGGAAGTGTGTATGAATAGTATAGAACACATGAGCATGCATGCATTATTGCTATGGGTACTTATGTACCGAGTCTCTGGCCAGTAGACAGTTTTATTAGCCTTCGGGCAGTTTTGGACTTCCCCTGGATAGGTCTCTAGGAGGGAGTTCCAGTTGACTGCGTGTCATGGTGTGTGATCCGGGTAGGAGCACACTAGGAATGTCTTTGGCATTTTGGATGGTTTGGGCATCATGGTTGTGGTTTCTGTGAACACACCTTGGATGATACCCATAGGCTTATATATGCCCAGGGCGTATATGGAATTGGAGTTACCATCCCGTATCGTCGTAGTTTGTATCTTTATATTCCCCATTTCTCTAAATCCCTTGCTTTATCCCGTTTTCAAAGTGGTTGTTTTATTCTATTGATATGCATCGAAGTGAACCATTGGGTGGAGTTTTCTCCAGAACCTCTTGGTTACTGAGATATATTCGTATATCTCACCCTGTCTCGGGGCATTTATTGCAGGAGGTAGCAGTGGAGCCGGAGCAGCGGGCAAGAGGCCCGCGGAGTGAGCAGTGGAGTGCTTCATATTTTGCATTTTGTTGGCCGTGTGGCCTAGGCTAGACTTAGGGCATGAACATCTCTTATGTATGTGGGATGAGCTTCATTAGCATATTTGTTCATGCCATTTTGCCTAAGTCTAGTAGTTATGTATTTGGTTATGTTGTCATTTGAAGTTAAGTTATAATATTGGAAGAATGTAAGTTGAAGTTTAAGTTTCAAGTTGTAAGATGTAAAGCAATATTGTAATCGTATTGATGCATGACTATTTATGATGGAAGAGCCTTAGGCCTATTTTAGGGTATGATTACATGTATGATGAAAATATGCATGAAAAAGGTATTCGTGATTGCAACTACTTAAGGATGATTAATATGAACTATATGCCTAATAACTATAAACTGGATTGGGTTGTAAGTGCCCCAAGGCGTTTTTGGTCCTTGTGTGTACCACTCATTGGATTATTACTGTATTATCATGTGATTATTAGGTACATTTGAGGTTTAAATGATTTTTACAAATTTGGAATTATTGGAAAAACAAAGGAAACTCTGGCGAATTTTCTGTAGAATTGACAGATTTTAGGCGAACTTCGGGAGAGCATATCTCCCTCCATAGAGGTCCAATAGGGACGTGCCATACGCCATTTTGAAGGTTGAGATGTCCTCTACCTTGTGTCAAAATTTGAGGAAAATATGGGTTGATCTTCGGCCTGAAAATATGGAGAAACACGGACTGCTCATGTGCCACTGCACCTGGGGCAGATTCTGGACCGGATTTGGGAAATTAATTCCCGCTTCGTTTCTCAGTCAAATGAAGTGTGTGATATATCAAAATGAATTTTGAGATGTCTAGTTTGTAGGATAAAAATTGGAGAGCAAATGGATGAGTGGATGGGGTGCAGTAATTCGAGTAATGTGTGTGGTTTGGGGCTGTTTTTGGGGTTGTTTGGCTATTTGCTTATCCAACTTCTAACGGCGATAACCGGAGCAAATGAGCTCCAAATTGAGCGTATGATAGCTTGTTGAAAAGGGAATTAAGTAAGACAAAGATATAATCTGAGAAGAGAGTTTGGTTACGAACAGTGTGGTCGCAGAAAAATTAAGAGTGAAACATGTCCGAATTGGTAAAAACGTAAAGATTGGAAATTGGCTAAGTGGGTTTATGGGAACCCCTTAGTAACTTATGATAAGTAATGTAAGTTATAAAAATAGTTTAAATAATTCTTCCGCAAGAGTTCACGGTTACGGTCACAGCTTTTAATTATTACGCTTTTTATGTGTTAAATTCTCGCGTAATAATCGGAAAAAGTTTATTCGCATTTTTATAAATGAATTGTTGTGATTGTAACTGCGCTTAATATCATAATTAATGTTAACAATATCGGTGTACAACGGGCTGTTACAGTTGTCATATCCGGTTGGTGAATGGCCACTAGTAATGGCTCATGGGACTTAGTTAGTAGATCACGATGTTAAATTACACTAATGTAATATATCATGTGAACGCTTTTCGAAATATTTTTAGAAAATGCTTTGGCAAAAGTTTACTCGTATTTTTATAAAACGATTTCATATTTAATAAAATAAAGTCTTCCGCTGTGTACGCTAAATATCATGTATGTTAACAACCGCAGTACTACGGGGTGTTACAATTTGACTAAGACTTGAGTGAGCTATGACTCATCAAAGTCATAGGTAATTCAGCTACATTTTCTATAAATTTTGACAGTGTCTTCGTTGTTTATGGGACAGTTCTAGGGATCAATTCCCACATAACAATTAACACCCGGTAGACACAATACTCATTCCATTCAAACTACCACAAGATGGCTCTGTGCCATTTCATTGACCTAGTACATAAATATGTATATACAAATACATATCTCTATCACACTTCTATAAATATTCACATAGGCAACATAGGCCTTTCAAAAAGAATATTTACATATATACATTTGTCTGATAATTACAAAACATGAATACAAATAGTCATCAAAACATATAGACAAAAATTTTATGCAACATGTAACTGTTTCTTTATCCTCTACATGCAGAGCCCTAATCTCCTCGTGTTGGCCTCTTACCAAGGGACCTATCTCCAACATCAGAAGTACCTAAAATATGTCCCCATAACGCGGGGTGGGAATAAATCTCAATAAGCTCGGGGTTTATGGAGAAATCTCCACCCACGAGTTCACATCCTGCATTATATGTAAAATATAGAACATAGACAACACTAGATAGTCTCTTTGATAATACAGATAAATATTTTACACCATCAAACAGTCGTATTCACATACAAAATATTTTACTTTCTTTATCTAATATTTTACTTACTTACTTTTATTATTTAATCAATCATTTGATATTATTTGAGAAACTCTTATCAAAATTATCAACAATAAACAATCCTCATAAACCAAAATGATTAGAAATTGACACTAATCAAATAATTCAATAATTCACTTTAATCAGAAATACTAGAAATCACAACCATCAAAACACATGAAAATATTATATATTTCTATTTTATAGAGTAATCTGAACCAACCGAAGATCAGATGCGTTCATGATAATATTTAATATCAACGATTCCACTAGAGCTATCCTTTATAGAGATACACTCAACTTGTATCACCAATTTATTATTTGACTTGTAAGATCCCACACCATTAAATTAGAAATTTAAACATTTTAATTATGAGTTAGGAAATAATTCTATAATTGACTCTAGACAATTATAGAAAGATTATAAAAGTTAATATTAAGTCACTTTTCAAAAGAAAAGTGCAAACACCGGGTATTTCACGGTATAAATGGATATCAGTGAAGTAACTTGAAAAATAGTGATAAAAATATTAATATTCCTAGAAAAATATTTAGGTTAAGAATATCAATTTTGGTATAAAAGTAATAAGCAGTAATGCCAGAACTAATACTGGCTATTTCGCTGTATAAAACACGTACCAGTAAAGTGTCTTAGAAAATTATTATAAAAATATTATAATATTTAGAAAAATGTCTAGGTTAAGAATATAAACATTTAGAGTTAAACGAAGAGTGAAACTAATTAAACTAATAATGTTAGCTAAGTGGAAGCACTTATATAAATAGTCAAGTGGCACTAAACCCTAGGTTAATTTTGAAACCTGCCTTCTTCCAACACTTAGGTTTTCTCTCTTCTCTTCCTCTCCAAATAAGCTTGAGTTCCTCCATGGAAACCAAGCAAGACTTCACCTTTGTTCATCTCCTCTCACTTTGATAATCCCAAACACTTGAAAGCAAGCAACTTGTAGGATAGAAACTCATTCTTGAAAGGTTCAAGGTGCTACCTTGTGAGTGTTGGAGCACTTCCTCTTTGTTTTGGGAGATTAGATTATCAAGGAGCCTCCTTGTAGTGAAAGAACTCATCTTCACCAATCCATTTTCATGCTCTTAGTATGGCAGAGGACTAAAGTGGACTAGAAGCAAGAAATATCACTCTTTTAGCTATTTTTGAAGCCCTTGGTATATGCCTCACCCTTTCTCTCTTAGATTTTATGAAAAAGAATGAGTCTTGGACATGTTAAATGAGAAAAATGAGTAACCAAGATGACCGCTAGCGTAAACATGCTTAAAATGGGTAGCTTGAACTTCTGTATATGTTAAAAATGGAACCTTGTTTGATTAAATCATGAAAAATGATGTTTTGGACAAAAAATAGCTGTTATATGACAAATATCCAGATATGAATAGTGGGATATTTGATATCTTTGATGGCAGTACACCAATTTTTGTAAATATTTGATATCTTAAGCTACAGAGCTCCAAATCGAGTTTCGTTTAGACCTATGTGAATATAACACATAGGAATACAACTCTATAAAATTTTGTTGCCATTGGATAAATGGTTTGATCGTAGTGTCATTTTGAAGTCAGGACTTGGTTGCTGAAAATTTAGTTTGCAGCAGTCACTTTGTGAAAAACATAACCGGAGTTATACAACTCCAAATGAGATATATAATATGTTGTTGGAAAGCTTAGAATGTCTAGTTTAACATATTAAAATATCAAAAAAATTGTACATATTTGCAATTGCAGTTTTAAAAACGGTAAGCGAAGTTTGTTGTCTTATTCATAATAGAGTTGATTTCTTTGGAATGTTCTTCAAGGAAATGAATTATAGACTCTATTGTACTTGTAAGTGATGTTCTAAGGTTAAGGGACCTTAGGGAGTGGACTTAGTTTCTCTCACCTTGAGTTGGTGTCCCTACGTAAAGAATGGCTTTGTAAAAGACTATATAAAAGAATGTCCTAAAGAAGTATATTTATTAATTGCCTTTATATCTTGAAATAGGTTGTGATTTTGTGTGGGCCTATGATTATGGTCTTTTGGATGCTGAGAGTTCATTGGAGTATGTTGCAGATAAGGTAAGTTTCATTTTCTCAGGGTTAATCCCCATTTGTTCCACTATACTCCAAGAGGAGGATGGTAGTTTTATATGGTATATGTGCTTATCTGTTATTTGAGATGATGAAATGATGCACTCTTATATATGTTTGTTATGTTGTGTATTACACACAAGATGGCTAATACATGAGTGTAGTGTGGAGCTACACAAGACTGTATTCCCTTAGTGTGGGTATAAGGCAAGAGCATTATACTTCTTATGTATGTAGCAAACTTGTGTAAATCATACTGTTCTCTGGCCAATAAACTTGTTAGCAAACATGCATGATATATATATATGTTTTTGCATGATAAACCTTTGGTTTACCATGTTTTAAGGCTAATTTATACAAGAATTACATAGTGAATTGCATGGAAATTAGGGCTTTACATTATAAAATCATAAAGTTTGGAATTTTTAGCTAACATGTTGTAATCTTGCCTATTTTGAAGGTATTTTGACATAAAAGAATGCTTAATGGAGCAAAGGAACGAAAAGAGATGTTTCAATACCCAAGGAAGTCCAAACAAAGCAAGTTACAAGCAATTCACAAGCTGATGGAGAGCGTTTTAGCGCCCAAAGAGCGCTAAAATGTTCTAAAGAAGCAAAATAGCAAAAATCCACTAGAGGAGAGCATTTTAGCGCCCAATAGAGCATTAAAACGCCTTGACAACACAAAGTTCCTTTCGAAGAGAGCGTTTTAGCGCCCATATGAGCATTAAAACACCCTAAGGCATACAAGAATACACTAAGGGGCGCTAAAACGCTATGACGCGTAAAATTTCAGGCCCAAGGAAGATCGTATATCTTAATCAAGATGTGAACAAGATTTCACGAAGATTTGAATGGAAATTAAAAAGATATGTTCTCCTCTATAAATAAAGGGCCTTGGGACCAATTGAAGGGGAATTCAAGAACGGAGAGGCATCTGAAGCACAAGGAGGAATCCTGCTGCGGAACGTTGGAGCACTGAGGAACCAAGTCAACATCACACCAATGGAGGCTTGGGGTTCTATTTTCTTTATTATTGCTTTTGAATTCAGTATGCTAGGCTAGATTTTTATGTAGATAGGGGTAGATGGAATCCAATTGAATCATGCTTTGAATTAAATTGTCTCTAAATTCTTCTCTTTTTATAATTGAATAAATTTATCCGTCTTTAATGCTTTCTATGAGTTTGATCCTTATAGAATGATTTAGGGGAATTATATGACAATAGGGATCATGGTGCATGAACCTTGACTTGGTAAATTTATCATAATCCTTCTGATCTAGGGATATATATAAGGCAATTATGCAATCTTTAAATTCTTGATCTTAATGCATGTTTTCTTGGGGAATAATCGAGGAACTAGAGTTCTTTCAAGATCACATAGATTTAGGGTAACAAGGAATTGAGCCCTAATTAACTTTAGAAAAAATTGATTGGCATTATATTAAGAGCAGATTCTTGACAGTTTAATTCATAGCATACAGAGGAGATTGGGGGAAGTCAACACCCTAACAACGCTTGTTTTTAATTCTTAATCAATCATCATCTTTTTCAATTGTCTTTTTAATTCAGAATTTTTAAATTGCATGTTATTGCTTGTTTCAAATTCAATTCTCTCAAATCCAATTCTTGATTGTCCAACTAAATCGTTTTTAGCGAACTAGTGCTTGAAAACTCAATCCTCGTGGGAACGATCTCGTACTTAGTACACTTTATTACTTTTACGACCGGTGCACTTGCTAAAGTCGCAACAAGTTTTTGGCGCCGTTGCCGGGGATTGGATCTTTCAATATTAGAAATAGCTAAAGGCCTTTTAGATTGGACTTTTTATTTTTCTACAATTTAAATTTTCTGAATTTATATATATATATATATATATATATATATATATATATATATTATTCTTATTTTTATTTCTAATTTTTTTTAAAAATTTAAATTTAAATTTAAATTTAAATTTTTATTTTATTTTATTTTAATTTTTTTTAAATACCTTTTTTGGTCCCTAACAAAAAACACGGTGCCCATACAAAAAAAATTAGTCTCGAGGTCCCTAACAAATTCAAAGTGGACCCATTTAGTTGAAATCATGGTCCCTCACAAATTCAAAAAAGACCCACATTAGTCCCTCAAAACGATTAAAATGGATCCACTTTGAATTTGTTAGGGACCAACCGACTAATTTTTTTTTGTGAGGGACTAAAGTGGGGAGCGTGTTTTTTGTTAGGGACCAAAAATGGTATTTACTCTTAATTTTTTATTTTATTTTATTTTATTTTTATTTTGAAAAAAATATTAATAATAGTTTCTGCATTAATTTTTCTGCTTAAGTTTTTGCATTTATGCATTCAGTATTTTCTGCTTAAATATTTTGTTTTATGTTTTCTACATTTTCTGTTATTCTGCATAATCTTTTACTCTTAGTTTATGCGAGGTACTGTTAACCCATGATCCTTGCAGTTTGATCCTGAGATAGAAAAGACATTCAGAAAACTCAAAAAAAGCGCAAAAGGAAGAAAAGCAAAATAAGCAAAAGCTTCAAGCTCGATGGAACCAAAGGAAGAAACGATAGCTAACAACAACGCAATTCAGAATCCTCCCAGAACTTTGGGAGATTACATGACGCCAGCCCGAGTTCCACAGACGGCAAGCATTGTTAGAACAACCGTGGATGCTAACAACTTCGAGCTCAAGCCAGCACTGTTACAACTGATTCAAAAAGATCAGTTTCGCTGGAGGAAGCACAGAAGACACCTACAGTCATCTTGAAAATTTTCTACTCTACAGTGACACCTTGAAGATGAATGGAGTCTCTCGGGATGCCATTTTGCTCAGACTCTTCCCATGTTCAATGAAGGAAGAAGCAAGAGGGTGGTTGCGGTCACTGCCTCAAGGAAGCATCACCAACTGGGATGATTTGGCGACCAAGTTCTTGGCCAGATTCTCCTCAGCTTCAAAGATTGCAAGGCTCAAAGCAGAAATTAGTGCTTTTGAACAAAAATAAAGTGAATCCTTGTACGAAGCATAGGAAAGATTCAAAGGATTGCTCCAAAAGTGTCCCCAACATAGCATGAAAGCTTGGGAGAAAGGACGAATCTTCTTCCAAGGAATGACGCCAAGCACAAGAACTTTGGTGAATGTTGCAGCAAGAGGATCACTGAAAACAGAAACTCCAGAGGAAGCACTGGAATTGTTGCAATCTTTAGCCTCTCAGGAGTTCGATATTGCTCCAGTCCCAAGCAGAAGAGTAGGGATCATGAAGCTTGATGGCTATAATGCAATATTGGCCCAGAATGAACAAATATTGCAAATAAATAAGAAACAACAAGCACAATTAGATGCTCTTACAAAGCAATTTGTTAATTATCAAATTTCTTCTGTTAATAATTCTCGAATTACTTGTGGTATTTGTGCAGGTACTCATGCAACTGAAGACTGTGAATTCATAAGAGCACCTGAAACTGCTGAAGTAAACGAACTCTGGTATGATCAGAAGAACCAAAATGATCCAGGGAGGAACCAGTATGGGAATGAATACAATCAAGGGTGGAAGAATCAGAATCAACATCCGGGGTTGAGTTACAAATCCAACCATCAGCTCAATCCTCCCCTTCCAGTGCAACCACATACCCCACAACAAAGTAACACTTCTGAGTGGGAGAAAGATTTTGCACAGTTATGCAAGACCACTTCTGATTACATACAAGGTGCAAATGCTTTCAGAGAGGAAACATCTGCCTTCATGCAAGAGACTAGATCAGCAATCTGAAACCAAGAAGCTTCTATATTAAATCTAGAAACTCAGATTGGCCAGTTGTTAAGGCAATTTACTAAGCGAGCTAAGGGTACCTTCCCGGGAAACACTGTCATTAATCCTAGAGAACACTGCAATGCAAATACCACAAAATGTGAGACAATGATTCAGCCTATAGAGAAGCAACCTGAAGAAAAGAAGAGAAATTTGGAGGCATCAGTTGAAGAAGAGAATAAAGAAAATGCAAAGGATACTGTTGAAGTTGACAAGACCAATCTTGAAAAGGTCAAACAGAAACTATTCAAGTGGGAGAAGAAGAAAGCTTTAGAAAGGAAAGACAAGCCTTTGGATCTCTCCCCATATGCTCGAATCCCCTATCCTCAGAGATTAAAGAAAGAGATTCAGAAGCAGCAGTATTCAAAGTTTCTAGACATATTCAGGAGGTTGCAGATCAACATTCCTTTTGCCGAAGCTTTATAGAACATGCCCAACTATGCAATGTTCATGAAGGATCTATTATCAAGGAAGCGTAAGTTACAAGAATGTGAGACGGTAAATCTGATAGAAGAATGTAATGCTATCATCCAAAAGAAGTTACCTACCAAAGTCAAGAATCCAGGGAGCTTCAGCATTCCATGCACTATAGGCAAAGTGCAAGTGGATGATGTTTTATGTGATCTTGGAGCTAGCATCAACGTCATGCCATTCTCCATGATGAAGAAGTTAGGGATTACTGAAGTGAAGCCCACAAGAACAATAGTGCAACTGGCTGACCGCTCTTCAAAGCAAGCTTACGACATCATTGAAGATATATTGGTTAAGGTTGACAAGTCCATCATTCATGTTGATTTTGTCATCCTTGACATTGAAAAGGATGCCACTATTCCTATGATTTTCGGAAGACCCTTCTTGGAAACTTCAGGAGCACTGATTGATGTACATAAAGGTGAGCTAATCTTACGGGTAGATAGAGAGCAAACAGTATTCAAGTTCTTTGACAAAGAAATCCCCTCATATGTAGCTCAACCGGAAGATCAAGTCTACTATATTGGTGAAAAGAAAGGTAAAGAAGAACACAATGAGGAGTCTTCTCAAGAAAGTAAGCCAACTGACTAATTTTTTTTTGTGAGGGATTAAAGTGGGGAGCGTGTTTTTTGTTAGGGACCAAAAAGGGTATTTACTCTTAATTTTTTATTTTATTTTTATTTTATTTTTTTTGAAAAAAATAATAATAGTTTCTGCATTAATTTTTCTGCATAAGTTTTTGCATATTCTACATTCAGTATTTTCTGCTCAAATTTTCTATTTTCTGTTTTCTACATTTTCTGTTTTTCTGCATAATCTTTTACTCGTAGTTTATGCGAGGTACTGTTAACCCACGATCCTTGTAGTTTGATCCTGAGATAGAAAAGACATTCAGAAAACTCAGAAAAACGCAAAAGAAATAAAAGAAAAATAAGCAAAAGCTTCAAGCTCGACGAAACTAAAAAAAGAAACGATGGCTAACAACAACGTAATTCAGAATCCTTTCAGAACTTTGGGAGATTACTTGACGCCATCCTGAGTTCCGCAGACGGAAAGCATTGTTAGACCAACCGTGGATGCTAACAACTTCGAGCTAAAGTCAACATTGTCACAACTGATTCAAAAAGATCAATTCGCTGGAGGAAGCACAGAAGACCCCTACAGTCATCTTGAAAAAAATTTGCTCTACTGTGACACCTTGAAGATGAATGGAGTCTCTCGATACGCCATTTTGCCTAACTATCGTACATTATTTATTTTAAGCCACTAAGGGGTTCCCATAAATCCACTTAGCCTAAATCTCACTTTTACGGTTTTTCCATAACTGAACATGTTTCAATCTTCTGGACACTGTGAGAAATTCCCAAACTATAAGCTTCTTATCTTTTAATATGCTATTCTAGACTCAATTATCTTTCCAACAAGGTATCACATGCCTCATAAATATTTCTCTAGCTCTGGATATCATCGTTTGGAGTTGGACAAGTAAAACTGTCAGCCAACCCAAAACGGGGCACAAAAATCCCTCACCATTTATGCGATTCTAGACAAACCACTCAACTAATTTCTCTCAAATTTTTATACAGCATACTAGACACCTTGAGCTTTAATTTTACATATCATGAGCCTAATATGAGTAAGAATTGAGGGAGAAATAATTTGTGGAAAACATAAACCTGCACAGCCCCTGTGCAGGGACTCCATGGGCAGTTCTCACTCAATCGAACCTACAGGTCGCTACGCAAATTCAAATGCTACCAAATTTTGACACAATATAGCTGACATCTCAAGATTCAAAATTATGTATGGTACGTTCTTATTGGACCGCTGTGAAAGGCGATATGCTCTCCCAAAGTAAACCTAAAAAATAGTCATTTATTATAAATATTGATGACACCTCCTTTGTTTGTTTAACATATCACACTTTATCAAGAGTGTGTTCTAAAGTCTCAAATGGTACCTAATAGACAAGGGTGACTCACAAGAACCAACAATGCCTTGGAGCTCTTACAACCCATACAATTTACATCATTTTCATTAATTTCATAATTCATTACTTAACTTTATTGAAACTTAAACTCTTTATTGATATGTCCGTCGTAAGTAGTAAACTGAAAACCTAACGTCACTAGAACAGGGTAGCAGACTGATTGTTTATTCTGGAACGATCTACTATCCAGTGTATTCTGTAACTTTTATGATAAATACTAGACATCTTAAGCTTTAATTTGACACAAGAATCGTCCTGTTTTGTTAAGTAACAAAGGAGATATGAATTTTGCAAACTCACTATTCTTGTTGTAAAACTGAAATAACAACAAACAATGCCACTAATTCTTTTTGAAAACTGTAATGTGAGCTCATAAAATTCTCATATTTTAGGACAAGAAACTAGACGTTTTAGGCTTCAGTTTGGTACCTCACACACTTCATTTGGTTAAGAAATGAGTGAGATATGGTTTTTCTAAAACCGAACTCACTACTACGTAAAATTCTAACAGAACCATCAACTCTACTTCCATACGTTTTTACACTAAATTGTCCAACCAATTTAAACTTTGTTCTCTCATCTACATATAATTTAACATACTTTAATCTTCATGACAAATCGTTAGAGTAATCTCAAACTCCTATTTAAAACCCAATGGCTAAAATATCTTAAAGATAGCAACATATGAATTTATTCAACTTCTCACAATGAACATTGAATTAATCAAATCTAATACTTCATTAACTGATCAAAACATTTTCTTAGCCTTATAAAATCACTTTCCTAAACCTTATACCATCATGGGCTGAACCTTCCCTAATCAAGTTTCATGGAAATCTTAAAACAAACAATCTTTTTAATCACTTAAACCATCAATTTGTCATCTCAATTTCATGTATTTTCACTTAGAAAATATTACAAACACATGACATGCATATTAAAGCACACATAGGTTGAATTGTGCAGTGTTCCGTAAGCCATCCTATAACACCTCACATTTACAAATCATGTATTAATAGATTAAATGAGAATTAAAGGAATGGATTAGTGAAAATCCTGGAAATTAGGCTAAAAGACAAAGAAATGGTAAAACGGTAAATAGCCAAACACACAACTCTAGGAAGGTAAAATTCAGTAGTAGGTCTCAGATGATTAAAATAACCCTGGAAATGGATTCAGAACGAAAAATTGAGTGGATAGGCAAGTTTCAGAAAATTCAGTGAATAGTGTTTTTACCGGGTATATCGCGATACGATTGCGCCGTAAAACGTGCTGATTGAGTTTTGAGCTCTAGGTTTTGAATACAAGCCCTCACCTCCCTAGCGCCCAATAAGGGCCAAAAGCTAACTTATTATTTTATTGTTTTGTTCCTTTCCTTCTTGCATCTTTGGATCGTATTTTGGCCAACACATTTCCCCTCCATGCGCTAATTGGAAGAGCCATGAGCTGACCTTACCTCTATTTTATTAAGCTCAGCCATAATCCTTGTTCTCTAACTTCTTAAACGTACAGTAAAGAACTGCCCAAGGAAAACAGATTGGATACTCTTAACTCAAACCACCTGTAGCTTGTCCTTACCACATAGAAGGGATCACAAACATTGCTGGTATTTCCTTCTAAATTATTTCTCCCAAAATCGTGAATCACCTTAGACGTAAAAGACCATCCAAGTTCCTATCTTTCCCTCTGCATGTTTCGGCTGAATGGAAACAATAAAGGAAAGCACAACATACTTCCTTGTCGGTCAATTTTTAGATGCAAAGAGGGGTAGGAAGTTCACTTTTCTCTTGTCCGTTTTAATTC